AAAAAAAAAAAAAAAAAAAAGTGGAACTCAGCTGTCTAACTGGTTTACACTATAAACTAGAGATTTAGTGGCTCATGTAACTAGAAATTCCAGAGGCAGATCAGGCTTCAGAGTTGGTTTAATTCAGCCATTCAGTTATAGTTTTGAGGACCTGATTTCATTTCATTTTTCACTTTTCATGTCTTCATCTTTTCATTCTGTGTGTTGTATTACCCAAGGGCTAGTTTCCCCCAAGATGGCAGAATGGCCACAGCAGTTGCAGGCTTCACATTTGGGCACAGCCTGTGTCACACCAACCTGACCGAGAGAGTAAGTGTGCATCCCAGAATTCTAGGCAGTGTCCTGAGCTCCATGTCCTTTGGGTCATCCCGGGACCAGAGCACTGTTTCTAGAAGGGTGGTATGCCAGGTGGGGCTCCCCTGTGGCCTGGAGGTGGGTGTGTGTTGACCTCTGAACTGGGAGACCACTATCCCACAGGAAGGGTAGCTGGCCAATTCATTAACGTCCCACGTGAGCGTAATGTCTCTCCCGTATGCCAGTTTCTCCTGGACTCATACTGGAAGATTGTCCTTTCTCTCTGGCAAATCTTCTGTACTGTCTGATTGTATCTTACAGTCTTCTGTAAATATTATTGTTGCTTAACTATTAATGTGTCTATGCCTTGAGGTCAGCCCCAGTTCCAATCCTGTTCCATTTTGTTTGTGGAATCTCAGGCAAGGGATGAGGAAGTGGGGGTGAGGAAGAGAGAGAGGTCCAGGACGACTTCTGGATCTCTGGCTTGTGAAAGTGGAAGGATGGGATGTCAATCACCGAGAGAGGAAGCACAGTGGTAGTTGGGAGGGGGAGCTGAGGACTGTGAGCTATTCTGTCAGCATTTGAGAGTCTCTTGGGTCCACGCATTTTACTAGGTGGATAGGAGGAGGCCACCGCCTAGGTGTCTCTGAACTTTTAAAGTTTTTTCATCTTCATCATTCAGCATATCTTTAGTAGATTCTAAGTATTGTGCTTCAGTGGACGAAATCCGGAAGTGACACAAGGAGGTAACAGCTCATTCACAGAGACAGAGGTCAGTGAGTCTTATTACGAGATGTGAACAGTGCTTTGGCAGAAATAGGGTTGGTACCACTTCCTGCGGCGGTGTGGCCTGTGTTGAGGTTTGAAAGGCAAGTAGGTCTTCTTCGGAGCATGGTGGGAAGAGGGAGCTGCCTTCGTGAAGGCTTATGGGCAGAATAATGAGTAAGTGCAGAGTAACTGGGATCTGAGGTGCACAGGGTTGGTAGGCAGAGATGCCCATTACAGCAAGCTGAAGAGTTAAGATTCTACCTTTATATACACCTTATAATTAGAGGACTGACCACATGTCCTGGTCTAGACATATCATCCAAGCATAATTCATCATTGTGATCCTTTCACTCTGAAATGTGCTTTTAATTTGGATGATAAATGGTTACCCAACTTAAAATAGAAGTCCAGACCCATAGGAACAGTCACTGTGATAGCAGTATGCTTCCTTCACAGTAGGACCTTGGGATTACATGAGATTAAGCATAGCAGTACTTCTCAAATGTCACAGTCCATTGAGAAACAGCTGTGGGTCTTGTGAATATGCACATTTGGATTCAGTCCATCTGGGGTGGGCCTTGAGAGCTGTCTAAGCTCCTGGGTCATTCCTAGACTGCTGGCCTGGGGTCCTCACTTTGAGTAGTAGGTAGTATTGGGCTTCAGGAGCTTCAGAGGGTCTGTGAAGTTCTGAAATCATATGCAGAAATGTGTGTACATGCATTCTTTAGAGGTGGGCCTAATTCCCTTGCGTTAGTTTCTCGAGGTCTGCCGCCATCCAAAAAAGATCAGGAATCACTGCCTTTTGGAAGTGACGTACAGATTAAATGAAATATGTTGATTCAATGCCCTTATCAATGTCTAGAGCATAGTGGACACGCAGTATGCCCTAGCTGTATGTCCTCCTTCCCTCCCCTGACCCCAGTTCTTTGAAGGCAGGACATACTGCTTCAACATTTTAAATGGTTTTTTTTTATTTTTTATTTTTTTAAGATGGGGTTTCACCAAGCTGGTCTTGAACTCCCGACCTCAGGTAATCCGCCCGCTCTGGCCTCCAAAGTGTTTGGATTACAGGCGTGAGCCACCATGCCTGGCTTTTAAATGCTTTTTAATGTCCTTTTTATGCTATTGGTGCTCAGTAAATGTCGATTTAGCTTGGTGACAAGCTGTTTGAGGACTCTGAGCCATTCTGTCAGCATTTGAGAGTCTCTTAGGTCCAAGCATGTTATTAGATAGATAGGAAGAGGCCACCACCTAGGTGATTGCAGATACCCAGGCAGGTGGAATCATTAGGGCCTGTGCTGTTTAGTAATTGTTGAATTGACTAGGAGATGAATCAGTTCTTAGGAATCTTCTTCCTGAGTTATAATGTGTGTTTAGAAAAGCGCTTCTACTGCCTTTGATTCATCGAAGTCCTGTTCTCTGATTCTCAGTTGTGTGAGATTTCAGTATGGATTAATTACTTCTCGTAATGCTTAATTTAATTCATTCAGTTGTTATTCTTGCCAAATGACGTTTTTCTAAACGTTTTGATATTTTGTTTAGCTGGTCCCAGAAATTTGGCATTTGTGATCACCTTAGGGTATTTGTGATGGAAAGGGTATATATAATTTATGGTATTTTCAAAGTTTCTTAAGAGGTGGGAAGAACAGTGATGAGAGAGAGATTTGAAGATAAGTGGTCTTATGAGTTGTAGATGTTTCAGAGACTTGACTCTGTTGAGAAGGGAAAACCTTGGATTGGAAGGTTATTTTTGAGAAGGTGGAGTGTTGATAGTGAAAGTTAGATTTCACTGAATTGAAAGAGCAAATGAGAGATGAGGTTAATTACAAAAGAAATTTCTTTTATTCAAAAGAAATTTGAGACAGGATTATGCTCTGTGACCCAAGATGGAACACAGTGGTGCAATCATGGCTCACTGTGGCCTCGAAGTTACGGGCTCAAGGGATCCTCCCACCTCAGTTCCCTGAGGATGTGGGACTGCAGGTATGGGCCACTGTGCTTGGTAGGAGTTTAATTTTTGTGTCAGATTTCTTGTAGTTTAGTTGCATTACAGTTTTTTTTCTGGCCAGTGCAGTGGCCCACACCTCTAATCCCAGCACTTTGAGAGGCCGAGACACGTGGATCACCTGAGATCAGGAGTATGAGACCAGCCTGGCCAACACGGTGAAACCGTATCTCTACTAAAAAGACAAATTAGCTGGGTATGGTGTCACGCATCTGTAATACCAGCTACTCAGGAGGCTGAGGCAGGAGAATTGCTTGAACCTTGGAGGCAGAGGTTGCAGTGAACTGTGGTTGCACCACTGTACTCCAGCCTGGGCAATAGCGTGAGACTCTGTCCCGCCAACCCCCCCAACACATTTTTTTTCTTCTGATTGACATTTAGGTGTTGCTGCTGCTGTTGTTTTTGAGAGGGAGTCTTGCTCTCTTGCCCAGGCTGGAATACAGTGTCGTGATCTCAGTTCACTGCAACCTCCTCCTCCTGGGTTCAAGCGATTTTCCTGCCTCAGCGTCCTGAATACCTGGGATTACAGATGCCCACCACCACGCCCAGCTAAATTTGTATATTAATAGAGAAGGATTTTCACTGTGTAGGTCAAGCTGGTCTGGAACTCCTGACCTCAAAAGATCTGCCCACTTTGGCCTCCCAAAGTGCTGGGATTACATGTGAGAGCCACCATGCCCAGCCAGTTTCGTTGTGTGTTTTTTTGCTTTTGTTAAGTTGTTAATTAGTAAGCCCTTAAAAGCACTAAAAGAGTTTCCATTTTAAAGACATCTGTTCTGGATGTTGTTCATCAGCTTTATAAAGTGAATAATTATCTCAAATTATTTTATAATTTCCTTTTTAATTGGGGAGCATAAGTGAATCGAGAAGTAGCCCTGCTGCTCCTCCTGTTTTCTGCTAGTTTCTCCCACCTCCTCAGTTGCCTGTAGTCATAGAGCTTTTTCTTGGATCACGGGAATGCTCCTACACAGTGATTCTAGACTCTAAGTCAGAATCACACAGGAAGTGTTGGAAATGCTGAATGAGGCCTGGACTCCACTCTAGACCACTGAAGCCAGAATTGTTGCAGGTATGGCCTGAGTATGCCCTGAATCTGAGTGTGGCCAGGTTCGAGGACTGTTGTCTTAGGCGTTTGTCCAGCATGAGTTAGCCCGCTCCTCTGCTAGGTGAGTACCGCAGGGGGTTGTTCATCTGCTTTTATGTGGATAATAGAGTATAGGGAGCTGATGGGGCAAACGAAATCTCTTCCAGGATATGCAGGTCCCATAAAGGGGACTTTGAAGTCTGGAGTTAACAGCTTTTTAGTTAAAGATTTCACACCATATCCCTGAACCTAAATATATAATTAAAGAGTGGAATGCAAACTATTAGGATTTCTGCTGGTAAAGCAAGCTATACTTGCATAATGTGTATCTTCGGAGGACATGTTTCCACAGATCATTAGATGAAAGTTAAACTGAGAAAGTAAACAGTGGACTACTTCCATAACTATCATACATCTTTCTGCATTCCTTTATTTTCAGCAGATAGTAATTTTGCAGCTTTTTACTTCTTCAACCAAACCTTCTAAGTAACCTTGGTTTCCTTTAACAACAAAGGAAGTCATTAAGGGGGAAGTTCTGTACTCAGTCTTTTTTTTTTGACTTTTTAGAAAAACATTTATTGTAATCAATCACACTCAGGTTGTAGTTCTGAAAGCAAAGTGAAAACACACAGTACAGCTATGCCTCAGTATCCATGGGGGATGGGTTCCAGGACTGCACCCTCAGACATCAAAATCTGAGGATGCTCAGGTCCCTGATAGGCAATGGCAGAGTGTTTGCATTTAACCTACACACACCTTCCTGCATAATTTAAATCATCTCTGGATTACTTATAATACCAAATACACTATAAACGCTGTGTAAATATGCTATACCATATTGTTTAGGGAATAAGGCCAGGGAAAAAAAAGGTCTGTATGTGTTCAGTACAGGTGCATTTTTTTTTTTTCCCCAAATGTTTTCTATCCAAGCCTGGTTGGATCCAAATGTGGAACCCAGAGTTACAGAGAGCTGATTGTACTGGGGAAATTTTTAGGGTGGAAACATTCCTTAGAGATGTTTTATATCACACCACTTCAGCAAGAGCGATTCAGGCATACCTCTCTCTACTATGCTTTGCAGTTGCTGTGTCTTTTCAGAAATGGAAGGTTTGTAGGAGCCCTGCATCAGGCAGGTCTATTGGCACCATTTTTCCAACAACATGTGGTCCCTTTGTGTCTCTGTGTCAGCATTTTGAATAATAAATATTTTTAAATTAAGGTTTGTACATTTTTTTAGACATAATGCTACTGTACCTTATCTCTGAGGTATGCCTGTACATTTTACTAAGAATATTTCATTTGAGAAGTAAACCTCAAGAACTGCCATGACTTTTCAGATGGGAAGAGCGAGCCCCTGGGAGGGCGAGTCTAGGTGTGCAGCTAGTGGGGGCCGGGGTCAAGTCCACTTGGTGCTTGAGGCTTCACTCAGCAGGCCGCCCGTCCCCTCCATGGGGTCGTTTGGCGGTCCCTGGGTAGGAGAGGGCTGCACTAGGAGGTAAATGTGATTCCAGCATGGGCTGCTCCAAGGCTCTGAGACCCCAAGGCCCGCAGAGGGGTGGCCTCCAGTCCTGCAGCAGGTGTTTGGAAGAGGAGTCATCTCCCAAGATGAGAAGACCTCCAGGGGAGAATGAGGCATAGTCAGACCGTTGGCTGAGCATGAGCATTTCCCCAGACCCATGCGGGTGAGAGGATTCAGTAGATGCCACTGAAACCTGTGCCAGGCAGGCCTTTGATCTTCACCGAGGAGGCCAGTCACAGTGCTGTGATGGCACGTCAGTGCACATGCCACTGGCATATGCCTCTTCGTATGTAATATCTGGAATGTGACAGTGCACGGAGGTTGCCTCTCCAGCAGGACGTTGCTAGTAGTACACTGATGATGTGGAGGTTCCCCAGGGGCATCCACTGGGCTTCTCCTGACTCCCAAGCCACCTGTTCGGAGTCACAGAGTCATATCCAGTCCCCCACTTCCCTGGGGGTGTGGCCTAGTGGTCATATTGGATCTCGGCCCACAGCTCCTTAATGACGTAGCTCACCAGCATGGCCAGCAGCTGCTGCTGCAGGGCCTCCCTGCCCATGACCAGCATGGTCAGCTGCATGGTGTGTGTCCACTCCAGGTGCCTGTTAATGGCTGTGGCTTCATTACAGAGCCTCTGCTGCTCAGCAGGGGGCAGCTCCATTATGATCTGAGGAATTGGCTTAAACTCTCTACTTGTCACCCAGGCACCTAACAGCCCCCTGACAGCCTCCCCAACGGCAAGTCCTTGTGGGCCACCCACCAAACCCCCGATGAAGGCCACGGCCCCTGTGACCAGGGCACCCTGCCCGGAGTGCCTGACCACTGCCTTCATCTTCCACTCCCCAGAAAGAGGACAGCAGCTTCACGATGTCCTCACCATGATGGTCATCGTTGCGGGCCTTTACCTGGGGGAGCGAAGGCCAGCGGTGCGCGCTCAGCAGTCACAGGCGGCTACAGCCCACACAGAGATGGAGACGCGCCCGCGACCCGGACCCTGCTGTCCCCCACCCCGCTCCTTGCCCGGCTCCCTGGCCCTGGTCCCAGCCCCGGCCCCACGGAGGGTCTCGCAGGCCTCGGTGGCAATCCTGGCGCTCGTACTTAATCTTAAAGCTGGAAGGAGAGGAGTATATTTACCAGCTAATCTAAGTACTTATATATTTTCTAGGATATTTTAATAGACTGTTGACAGTGGCCAGCAAATCAGAGGAAAATCGTTTCTGTAGTCAGGCGTCTGTTTTCATGGATGTCCTTTGACACGAAGCTCTGCTGTAGCGATATGCTTTCCTTCCTGGCAGGTGGCCTTCAGTAGCTGGGCTTTTGTTGGTCTGGTTCCAGCATATGTTATTAAGTGAAAAATCCTGTGGAACAGATGGCACGTACAAATTTCTGCCCATGTAGCACTCTGGTTAGTGAAACACTGTAGTTTTGCTTCATTGTTTTTGGCAGTAATTGTCTGTGTGTGGAGTTTGAATACGTGGTGTGAGAAGCTCAGCAGTAACAAAGGTTGAGCCAGGCAAGAATAATCTGAAGTGATTGAGTGATGAAGAGCGGAGCACTGTCCACTGAAAACAGACGCGGAATAGAAAGGCCATGCAGGTTTTAAGGTGTGTGGGGCACCGGGATGTCTTTGGACCAAGGAACATGAAACTAAAAATCCTAGCGTGTGGATGCTGACAAGTAGAGTGTGCTGAAGAGTTCTTCCGTAAATGAAAGGTGAAAACTGGCCCTTGGTCTTCAAGAACTCTGATGATGGTACTGCTTCAAATGCCTTATGTAGATTGTGCATCACAATTTTTAAAAAGTCAGTCTTACTGAAGTAGAATTTAATACAGTAAATGTGCCCATTTCAGGTTTGCATTTTGAAGTTTTTTGTTTTTGTTTTTGAGACAAGGTGTTGCTCTCTTTCCCAGGCAATGGTGTGATCCCAGCTCACTGTAGTCTCCATCTCCCAAGCTCAAGCCATCGTCCTGCCTCAGCCCTCCCAAGTAGCTGGGATTATAGGCATGTGCCACCAAGCCCAGCTATTTTTTTTTTTTTTTAAGAGACAGTCTCGCTCTGTCACCGAGGCTGGAGCGCAGTGGCGCAATCACGGCTCACTGCAACCTCTGCCTCCCTGGCTCAAGCAATTCTGCCTCAGCTCCTGAGTAGCTGGGACTACAGGTACCTGCCACCATGCCTGGCTAATTTTTTGTGTTTTAGTAGAGATGGGGTTTCACTGTGTTGCCCAGGCTGGTCTTGAACTCCTGAGGTCAGGCAATCCACATGCCTTGGCCTCCCAAAGTGCTACAAACTCAGCTATTTTTATAAAAATTTTTGTAGAGATGAGGTTTTGCTGTGTTGTCCAGGATGGTCTTTCACTTGTCTTAAGTGATCCTCTCTCACCTTGGCCTCCCTAAGTGGTGGAATTACAGGTGTGAGCCATCACGCCCATCTCAGTTTGAGTTTTGACAAATGTGTATGCCAAAGTAGTAACTACTACCACAGTCAAGATACAGACCTTTTCCATTGCCCACAGAGTTTCCTCATGCCCTTTTGCCGTGAATCCCCACTGTGTTCAGGCAGGCAGTGGTCTGCTGCTGTCACTGTAGGCTAAGAAAGTTTGCCTTTTCTAGAATTAGATTGATGCAGAATTATACAAACTGTACTCTTTTGTTTCTTTTCTTTTTTTTATTTTTTTTTTGAAACAGAGTCTCGCTCGGCCCAGGCTGGAGTGCAGTGGCACGATCTCAGGTCACTGCCACCGCTACCTTCCAGGTTCAAGTGATTCTCCTGCCTCAGCCTCCTGAGTAGCTGGGACTATAGGTGTGTACCACCATGCCTGGCTAATTTTTGTATTATCAGGAGAGATGGGGTTTCATCATACGGCCAGGCTGGTCTTGAACTCCTGACCTTGTGATCCACCTGCCTTGGCCTCCCAAAGTGTTGGGCTTGCAGGCATGAGCCACCGTGCTCAGCTTTGTTTGGTTTCTTTCACTCAGCCTAACTTTTTTGAGATTCAGCCGTGTTGAGTGTTGAGTTCCAGCCTTTTCAGTACTGGGTAGTATTCCTTTATGGATGTCCCACAGTTTGCTTGTCTCCACACTTCTTGATAGACATTTTTGTTGTTCCCACTGTTTGACTATTATAAATGAATCTGCTGTTTACATTCACATACAAGTGTCTGTGTGGACATAGGTTTTCATTTCTTGTGGGTAAAATGTGTAAACGTATATTCTGTTTTATTAATTATTATTATTATTATTATTATTTTGAAAGAAAGAGAAAGGGGGAGAGAGAACAGGAGTCTTGCTCTATTGCCCAGGCTGGAATACAATCTAAAAATAGGTATTAAAAACCTCTTTTATGCCGATAATCGGGCTTAACAGAGGAGACAGGAAGGAATAAGGGAAGAAAATAACAAACAGCCAACCAATATTTCATTTAAGTCTGTGAAAGGCTATGCAAATGCTGAAGAGTGATTTACTTCCAATTATGTGGTCAGTTTCAAAATAGGTGTAATACGATACTGAGAAAAATGTATGTTCTGTGGACCTGGGGTGAAGAATTCTATAAATATTCACTGAGTTTACTTGTTCCAGGTCTGAATTCAAGTCATAGATGTCTCTGTTAATTTTCTATCTCGTTGATCCGTTGAATATTAACAATGTGGTGTCAAAGTCTCCCGCTATTATTGTGCGGGAGTCCAAGTCTCTTTATAAGTCATTAAGAACTTGTCTTGGCCGGGCGCGGTGGCTCAAGCCTGTAATCCCAGCACTTTGGGAGGCCGAGGCGGGTGGATCACGAGGTCAAGAGATCGAGACCATCCTGGTCAACATGGTGAAACCCCGTCTCTACTAAAAAATACAAAAAATCAGCTGGGCATGGTGGCACGTGCCTATAATCCCATCTACTCAGGAGGCTGAGGCAGGAGAATTGCATGAACCCAGGAGGCGGAGGTTGCGGTGAGCCGAGATCGCGCCATTGCACTCCAGCCTGGGTAACAAGAGTGAAACTCCATCTCAAAAAAAAAGAACTTGTCTTATGTATCTGGTTGTTCCTATATTGGGTGCATATATATTTATGATCATTGACTACTGTTGTTGCATTGATCCTTTTACCGTTATGTAATGCCCTTCTTTGTTTCTTTTAGGCTTTGTTAGTATTAAAGTCTATTTTGTCAGAGATGAAAGTTACAACTCCTGTTTTCTTTTTTTTTTTTTTTTTTGCTCTCCATTTGGTTGGTAAATCTACCACCAACCCTTTGTTTTGTGTCTTTGTGTGTCCTTGCTTATGAGATGGATCTGGATACAGCGAACCGATGGGTTTTGACTTTTTATTCAATTTGCCTGTCTGTGTCTTTGATTGGGATATTTAATCCTTTTAAATTTAGGATTAATATTGATATTTGTGAGTTTAATATTGTCGTTTAATGCTAGCTGGCTATTTTGCCCATTAGTTGATATAGATTCTTCATTATGGAGATACTCTTTACCTTTTGGTAAGTTTTTGGGATGACTGATACTGGTTGTTCCTTTCTGTGTATAGCGCTTCTTTCAGAAGCTCTTATAAAGTAGGCCTGGTGGTGATGAAATCTCTGAGTGCTTGCTTGTTCGTGAAAAATTTTATTTTTCCTTCATTTATGAAGCTTAATTTGGCTGGATATGAGATTCTGGGTTGAAAATTCTTTTCTTTGAGGATATTGAATATCGACCCCCACTCTCTTCTAGTTTGTAGGGTTTCTGCTGAGAGATCTGCTGGGAGTCTGATAGGCTTCCCTTTATGGGTAACCTGACCCTTCTCTCTAGCTGCCCTTAGAATTTTCTCCTTTATTTCAACCCTGGTGAATCTAACGATTATGTGTCTTGGGGTTGCTCTACTTGAGGAGTATCTTTGTGGTGGTCTCTATTACCTGAAGTTGAGTATTTTCCTGCCTTAGTAGGTTAGGAAAGTTTTCCTGAATAGTATCCTGAAGAATATTTTCCAGCTTGGATTCATTCTCTTCATGACATTCAGGTACACCTATCAAACGTAAATTAGGTCTTTTCACATAGTCCCATGTTTCTTGGAGACTTTGCTCATTCCTTTTTGCTCTTTCTTCTCTAATCTTGTCTTCTCGTTTCATTTCATTAAGTTGGTCTTCAACCTCTGATATCCTTTCTTCTGCTTGATCAATTTGACTGTTAAAACCTGTGCATACTTCAGGGAGTTCTCGTATTCTTCAGTTCCATTAATTCACCTATATTCCTCTCTAGATTGTCTATTCTCGTGAAGATTTCGTCAGACCTTTTTTCAGGGTTCTTAGTTTCTTTACGTTGGGCTAGAACATGTTCTTTTAACACAGAAGTTTCTTATTATCCACCCTCTGAAGCCTAAATCTGTTCATGGAACGCACTCCTTCTCCATCAGGCCTTGCTCCCTTGTTGATGAGGAACTGTGATCCTCTGTGGAGGGAGAGGCATTCTGATTTTGGGTATTCTCAGCCTTTTTACGCTGGTTTCTTCCCATCATTGTAAATTTATCCACCTGTCGTCTTTGTAATTACCGACTTTCAAATTAGGTCTCTGAGTGGATGTCCCACTTGTTGATCCCCAGCGCCGGAATCTGAGCGACCCACTGCGCCGGCCGAGACAGTGGCGTTAAGATACGTGGTGCTTTTCTGCCCGGGAATCTCCTGTCTGACTTCCTTCTTGAGTCCCTTTATCAATCAGCTGAATAGGCGGCTCTGCCTTCCCGGAGCTCCAGACGTCGACCAAAAAGGGGACCCAGTCCCATTTACTCTGCACCAAGAACTGCCGCGCCAGCCACAAGAGTCGTGCTGCGACCCCTGGGCCTCCTTCGCTGGGAATCTCCTGGTCTGGGAGCAACAAAAATGCGTCTGAAAGTGCGGCGTCCTCTCGTTCTCTGTGCTGTCACTGGGAGCTGCAATCCTGAGCTGCTAGTAATCAGCCGTCTTGGATCTCTCCGCGTATATTCTATTTTATAGACACTGCAAGGCTTTTTCACAGCGGCCATGCCATTTTATATCTGCACCAGCTGTGTGTGAGAATTCTGCTTCTCTTTCGTCACCAACATTTGGTATTGTCAGTCTTCTTTTTTTGAGACAGTCTCACTCTATCGCCCAGGCTGGAGCAGTGGCGTGATCTTGACTCACTGCAACCGTCTCCTCCCAGGTTCAAGCAGTTCTCTTGCCTCCGCCTCTCAAGTAGCTGGGATTACAGGCGGACGCCACCACGCCTGGCTAATTTTTTATTTTTAGTAGAGATGGAGTTTCACCATGCTGGCCAGTCTCAAACTCTTGACCTCAAGTGATTTGTCCGCCTCAGCCTCCCAAAGTGCTGGCATTACAGACATGAGCAAGTGTGCCAGGCCCAGTCTTTTTAATTTTATTGCATGTAAATTTAAAAGGAGATCATTTTTTGTCCCCAGGAACATGACTTCCTGTCACTCACAGCAAAGTGAAACTGAGTGCAAATAGGTGGTTCTTAGTAAAATCTGTCCAAAAAGACAGTTTGAGCAGAAAGGAGAGCCTAAGAAAGGCAGAATGAGAGTCCGCTTCACACTAGACACAGGTGATCTATTTGAGGGGCAAGGATGGTGGGAGTGGGGACTAAAAGTGGATTTTAAAGGAATGACCTGCCCCAATACCTTCTCATCATATCCATGGTTTTTTGGCCCTTTTTCTCCCCTTATAAAGTTAAGATTTTGAAAAGTGGTTTCTCTTTAGCTTTGGAAATGGATCACATGGTAATTGTTAATGATTTTTCTCTAGGTCAAAATGAGATATTCCTTTAAAGTTTTCTGTAAAGCTTAATTTAGTTATCACGGTTGCGTTTAAGGGTTATATTTTAAAAATAAGTGTTATTTCTTGATTATATTTATTTAAAGGTTATATTTGAAAATGAAAAATGTACTTTTCCTGGCTGGAACATCTCTGGTGGTAATAAAAACATGAGAATAAAAACGATTCAAAGTGATCAAGTTAAGA